TCTTACGTGTTGCTGCAGTCAAGGCACCACGCACACACAACCGTCGCCGCGTGACCGGATCCAGCGGAAGGAGGAGGGAAGGAAGAGAGAGTGTGCCGCAGAGGCCCAACATGTTGCGGCACCTCCTCTACTCTGCGGTGCTGCTTCTTGTCGTGATGACGTGCTGCGGCGGTGCAGCTGCATCCTCTGGAGCCACGCCTGCAAAGGAGAATGATGGCAAGAATGATTTAAGAAGTGTTCAGGAGCCGGAGAAAGTTGATCTATTTTTCCACAGACGAAGGTGTTGCAGCCGAGGGATGAGGTTGTTCCAGGTACGACGAGGGATTCATTTGTTTTACCCTTTCTCGTCAGTGCTGGTGGAGTGGTGGCTGCTTTTGCCGAGGGTCACATGGATGCCGAATATCAAGGTGGTCAGTTAACTAAGCCCTTTTCTTCCGATGTTGTTGCGGGGTACATTGACCCTGCGTGGAATTGTTCCACTGTTGTTGGTGAGGCCAATAAAAGATACATGGAGGGCACACACTGTGCTTGGTGCAGCGGAGGGAAAGGAGGGTCTGGGTGTTGTGCACCACTCCACAACAGTCGCGAAGGGCAACGGAGCGTTTCTTCTTGCGGGAGGCTCGGATGTGTCCTACGAAGGTGTGTGTTGGAGAGAGGGCGGCCTGGAGCTGCAACTGTTGTGGGCGATGTCACGAATCCCACGGGTGGCAAGCAGAGTGGACGGATCGAATGGGGCGGCCCCAAACACTCTCGAAACTGATCTCTTCTGCTTCTCACGAAGGTGAACGGACGGAGTTCATTGCTTCGGATGGCGCAGGTGTTGTGATGGAGGATGGCACCTTCCTGTTTCCTCTGATGGTGGTGAATGAGGCAGAATACGTTTGCTCCATGACCATTTACTCGACGGACAACGGCAGTAACTGGGCGCTCACTGAGGGCATGTCCCCTGCGGAATGCCTTAACCCCCGCTTCAGCGAGTGGGAGGGATCACTTCCCATGATTGTTGACTGCGAGAATGGCCAGAGGGTGTAGGAGTCGCGTGACATGGGGACAACGTGGACGGAGGCCATCGGGAAGCTTTTAGGCGTGTGGGTCAACTCAGGATCGGGAGACTCTCAGAAAGAAAGCCTGCGTGTGGATGCCCTCATCGCCGCGACAATTGAGGGAAGGAAGGTCATGCTGTGCACTCAGAGAGGGTACGCCTCGGTGGAGAATAGGGCCAATCCGCTTTACGTTTGGGTCACGGCTAACAACCGCTCGTTTTATGTTGGACCGGTTGTCATGGACAGTGCTGTGAATTGGGAGCTCGCCAGCACCCTGCTGCACTCGGACGGGGATTTGCATCTTTTACAACGGAGGGGCAACGGTGAGAGCCGTGCCGTTTCACTTTCCCGCCTGACGGAGGAAGCGAGTGCAATCAAGTCCGTCCTCAGCACTTGGTCGCAAAAGGGCAGTTTCTTCTCCAGCGTGTCAATACCCACGGCGGGTCTGGTGGCAGTTTTGTCCGGTGCGGCCAGTGATGGCACGTGGATCGACGAGTACCCTTGCCTGCATGCAACGGTGACGAATGCAGTGAAGGACTGCGATGGATTCCGATTCACGGGACTTGAGTCCAGGGCAATATGGCTCGTGAACACTCGGGGTGATAACGTGCGTCATGTATTCTTGAGCCACCACTTCACACTTGTGGCATCGGTGACCATCGAAGAGGCCCCGAGTGGGAACACTCCTCCACTGACTGCGGTGCTGGCGAACACCGCGTCCAATCATACCATGGGACTGTCGTGCGGCCACAATAAGAAGCGGGAGACGGCGTTCGAAGGGACGACAACAACACGGAGGAGCACTTGGGAGCCGAAGAAAGAGTACCAGGCGGTACTTATGCTGCAAGGCAACAAGGCCTCTGTGCACATTGGTGGTCAGTTGCTGGCGGAATAGGAAGAGGTGCCGTTAACAGGTCAGAAGCCACCTGAGGTCCTCAGGTTTTGCTTTGGCGCGTGCTGTGGGCACTAATCCCCTGTGACGGTGAATGACGTCTTTCTGTACAGCCGCCCACTGAACTCCACTGCGATGCGTGCACCCAAGGACAGCGTCCCCGTTCCGACGAGTGAAGCGGCTCCGACACCACCCGAGAAGATTCGAGTGGTTGACAGCGTCAGGGAGCACATTGCTGGGAATATTACCGAAGAGAAATGAATGAGCACCACGCCCTGGACACGAATTTCCATTACAAATAGTCACCTTGCAGGGTGTGGAGCGGCGTGAGTCCCGACGACCGCCTCGCCCTCCCAACGACGTGGAATTGACACTGCGTGATTTAGGCGCTAACAACACCGTGCGTGTGTGCGTGTCCTGTGTGTTGCTGCTCCTACTGGGATTGTATTTGGGTGGTGGCAGCTTTCTGAGCCACGGAGTGCGGATCTGCGACGCCTCACGGAGAATACGTGCCGCACTTCCCACCCTTTTTCACTTATCTTTTATTTCTTTAATGTTTTTACTTTTAAATGTCTTTTTAATGCAGTTCAGCTGGAGCAGTAAGTACTGTTGTTTTTTCTTTGCGTAATGTTCGGCTGCCGCACACTGTAATGAGCGACGTGTTTCCCGCTCTTGTTTTTGCCCACACGCGGTGCCGGCCCTGCGGCTGCGCGTCCCACGGACTGCACGAAACGAGGATAGAAAGAACAGGCCGGATGCCGCATGAAATGTGAAGGATGTTTTGTGGGCTTGTGGAACAGTGCAATCTCTTTTATTTATTTTAATTTCCCTTTTTCTTTTCCTGGTGCGGGCAATGTGTATATACACACGGTCGCTTCGTGCTGCGTGGCACATGAAATAAAAGTCCTGCCGCATCAATTTTTCCTTTTATTTTTGGGAGTTATCCCGGACTCCCACCCTTTTTTTTCTTTTTTTAAATCCCTGCGGCTTGTTTCTGTAGTTACCGTATCTGCTGTCACCGTGTGTCTCCGTGTCCCGTTGACTGTTCCTCTGCTGACTGTGCTGTTGACATGCCCTCGTTCCTCTTTTTTCTCTTCTTTCCTTCTTTCCTGCTGGAGGCATCGATGTTCCGCGACGGCGATTGTTTGTGGTTCCCCATTGCGATGGCAGGAGGGCGACTGGGCGGCGGCCTGCTGAGTGCACATGGAGGGAGCGGACTGTGTGCGCCGTGCCTCACTGTGAGTGTGGGACGCCAACCCGCCGTTGAAAAGAGAAGTGAAGGACTGCGGTGTTTACTTGTATGTGCCCGTCCCTCTCTTTGCCGCCGTGTTTGTGCTGTGCGCATGGCTCTATCCTGCGGTGTGACGCCGATGGCGTTGCTATTTGCTGCCCTCGGATTTGCGTTGGGTCTCTCCTCTCCATGACACCGCCCTTGTGTGCGGGACAGTGAAGGGAGTGGAGATTTGTGAGGGAGTGAGGGTGGCCGTTGTTTCCGTACATTTGGATCTTCAGACACGTGGCACCACTCGGCAGCCTCTCGCAGTTCCCAGGCCGAATATTGAGAGGATGTGAGGGTCTGCTTCATGCACAGGGAGGAAAACGAGATGCAGTGCATGACGGCCAACCTGACTGGTGTGTGGTTGCAGCGCATGGAGCACGTGCGCCAGTACGCGTTGGGCGTTGCGCTCATGATTGGGGAGGCGGCACGACGTTGCGGCGCAGCGGGAGCGCATGACGGACTGCCTGTGCTGTGAGGGGCGCGTGTTGGAGTGAGCGTGGCGTGCCTGTGAGGGACTGAGGAGAGAGGGAATAACAGTAGTGGTGACTGTGGGAGTGTGAGGAACGGTGCACGGGCGAGGAGCGCCCCTCTTTTTTTTTTGATTTGATTGTTGTTGAGCCGCGCCCACCCAATTGTTGTTGTTGTTGTGTGTGACTCTCATTGCTGGATGGGACGGTGCGTGGTTGTGTGATTTGTCTCTCTTTTTGCTTTTTGCGTTGACGGGGAGTTAGTTTGTGCTGAAGGCTACACGCAAGTGACAGGAGTGATGGCGATGACGATGGCTGGCCGTGTGCTGCTGGTGTGTGCCCTCTGCGGCTCCGATTTTATTTCGTTCTCTTAACTGTCCTCTGTGTTCTTCGCGGAAAGGCAACGGTCACCGTGGTGTGGCTCACACGGCGCATCGAAGACGCAGCTCCATGCGGTTTGTTTTTGGCCTTTCGGACGTGCTTCCAGGGTGCGGCGCCTTGCGAGGATGGAGGACAGTAGCCCGCGATTCGTCCCCTGGCCGTGTTGCAGCTGCGATGTTGGTGGCGTGCAGCCAGTGAGCGGTGAGCCTTTGGGTGCCTGGGATAAGTGTGTTTTGCTTCCCGCCAAGCAGCTGCACGTGCCGATGTGTCTCTCCCGCCGTGGATTGACCGACAGGGGATTCTCCGGCTGTGCGGGGTGGTGTGCGCCGGCGGTCGAGCGGGTGCGTTGGAGGGAAAAGAATTCAAACGGCTGGGGGCAGCGCTTTATTGCTGCGGGGGGCGGCTGTGCCGTTTTGCATTCCGCCGGTTTTTTTGTGTGGACATTGCTCGGTGTGTGCTGACGCGATGCAGAAGCACCCGCAGTGGCTTCTGCTTTTGATGGCAGTTGCTTTGCTTCCGGCGCAGTCCATTTTCTTTATTCCGTGTGCCTGTGCGCGTGAGTTGTTGATGTTTGGAGTGCCTGCGGTGAGGATGATGGTGCCATTCACTCTGGTTGATTGGCGGTGCTAACTGTTTCACCCCTACTGTCGGCATGTTTTTCTTTTCATTTCTCTCTCAATCACACAAAGAAAAGAATTTAACACCAAGAGCGAATTGCTACTGTGAAATTTGACGTCTCCGAAAGGACCAACAGCACACACACCGCCCACACACGCACATTTATATGCTCTCGCGTGTTGCTGTACTCGCGCTTCAACGCGTCCAGCACAAACGGCTCGGCGGCAGCACCTCCACCGTCTTCGGCTGCTGCACCACCGTGTTGTACAGGCGGTACGCGTTCCGGTACTTCCTCGTCAGTGCCTCTCCCTCCGCACCGCTCAGACGATAGTGCCATTGCGGCGCAAACGCAACCACCACGCACTCGTCCACGAGGAATGTGCGCGTCTCCAGCCACGCCTCCAGCGCACGCAGCACCTCGTGCACGCGGTCCATCGCGTTGGCGAGCCGCTGCCCGCCACGGAAGGCGTGCTGCACAAACGGTGCGGGGCAGCGTCCAGCTCCGTTGCCGAAAAGTCGAGCCACATGTCCACCTGGCTGCCCTCCAGCGGCGTGCGGCCGTACAGGAAGCCGCCGCTCCGGTCAAGGCGCGCGATGTGGCGCAGGATGGCGTTGGTCTCGAACACACAGCCCTCCTCCGTCTGCAGCACGGGGTAGCGGCCGCACGGGCTGCAGTTGCGGCAGCATTCCGCCGTCTCGTTCTCGCGGCCGTACTCGCACGTCTTCGGCGTCACCGCAACGTTGGCGAGGGTCGCAGCAGCCAGAAGCTTGTGCGTGCGTGTATTCCCAGCGTTTACAACACTCCACAGCGTGAGCGACATGTGCCTTTGTGTTTGTCAGCGTCTACACCTGCGGAGCAGCTGTGCAGATCAAGAGAGAGCAAAGAAAGCAACGGCAGAGAGAGGCAGATAGCACACACGCAAATTACTCATATCATCACACACACACACACACACACACACACACACACACGCAGCCGCGGAATGGGTGCACTCAACCACAACACAAGCAGAAGAAAAAACAAAAACAAGAAGGAAAAAGCGTGGGACGACCAGCGCACACACTCTCATTGCTCCCGTAAAGCAAAACACACACACACACAGGGAGAGAGAGAGGTCGCCCACTCAATGCAATGGAAACAAAACAGAAACAGTTACGGTGCTCCGCCCATGCAGCCAGGCAGGACGGCAGCGGTGCGTGTCGTGCAAAAGAGAGCACCAACGGGTCTGCATGGGTGTGCAATGCATATATACAATGGGCACATTATTGTGTGTGCTTCGTGGGGTGAGGTGAGGGCGAGAGTCCATGCAAGGGGACACAGACACACAGAGAGAGAAGGACGAGTGTGTGTGTGCGGGCGGTGCACGGCTCTCTCTCCCTCACTCTCACGCGGCCACCACCGCAGCAGCAGCCGCACACGCAACACCAAGAAGAAGAGGCAAAAGGGGGGAGGTGGCGTGGGAGACCGCGGTGCTGCCGTCACTGTCGCCTGTATTTGCGGTGGCATTTGTAAGAAGGGCGTTTTTATCTTTCGCGGATTCTTCGCCACTTTCCGCGGGGTGTTCATGCTGTTGATGTTGTTGGACTTGTGTTTCATCACTCTGCTGCTGCTGTTCATTCTCTTCCTCTTCTTCCTCTTCTTCTTTTTGTCCAGTGCCGGATGTCGTCCCTGCAGGTCCTTCGGGTAGCGAGGAGTTGTGAGCCGCTGCTGATGCAGCAGACGTCTGATCTCCTGTTGAAGAGTCCCCTGTTGTGTTAGATGGATTAGTGCCTGGGGACCCCGCTGTACCACCACTGCTGCTAGCTGAAGGGTCAACACCAGGAGAATCAGCAGGAAGACCTGAAGGACTTTCAGATGAATCAGAAGAAACGCCACCGGTGACGTGACCGCCAGTAGAATTCCCACTGCTTCCTCCAGAAACAGAACTGTCTCCAGCACCAACAGAACCCTCTGTACCTCCAGTAGGAGGAGGAGCAGGAGAAGCAGAAGGACCTCCAGCGCCAGCAGCAGAACCGCCCCCCTCCCCACCAGAACCTGTATTTGTATCAGAACCTGAATTATTCGCATGCTGAGAAGTATCACTTACTTCCTCATTTGCTGCTTCAACGGCAGCGATGGGCAGTACTGACCGCAAACGCACCGTAATAGCGGTTTTATTGCATCCGTCAGGCATGTGGGATCCATTCTCACCCAACATTCCCGACGCCATGCAGCCACCCAGTGCGTTGGTGTCAACGTCCCTCGCATAAACACCGCCGGCAACGCACCACAGCACGCAGAGGGCACACACCAGCAGCACACGGCCGGTCATCGTCATCGCCATCACTCCTGTCACTTGCGTGTAGCCTTCAGCACAAACTAACTCCCCGTCAACGCAAAAAGCAAAAAGAGAGACAAATCACACAACCACGCACCGTCCCATCCAGCAATGAGAGTCACACAACAACAACAACAATTGGGTGGGCACGGCTCAACAACAATCAAAACAAAAGAGGGGCGCTCCTCGCCCTTGCACCGTTCCTCACACTCCCACAGTCACCACTACTGTTATTCCCTCTCTCCTCAGTCCCTCACAGGCACGCCACACTCACTCCAACACGCGCCCCTCACAGCACGGGCAGTCCGTCATGCGTTCCCGCTGCGCCGCAACGTCGTGCCGCCTCCCCAATCATGAGCGCAACGCCCAACGCGTACTGGCGCACGTGCTCCATGCGCCGCAACCACACACCAGTCAGGTTGGCCGTCATGCACTGCATCTTGTTGTCGTCCTTCTGCTTGGAGCAGACCCTCACACCCTCTCAATCCACGGCCTGGGAACTGCGAGAGGCTGCCGAGTGGTGCCACGTGTCTGAAGATCCAAATGTACGGAAACAACGGCCACCCTCACTCCCTCACACATCTCCACTCCCTTCACTGTCCCGCACACAAGGGCGGTGTCATGGAGAGGAGAAGCCCGCTGCACAGCAAATGCAAAGGGACACACACAATAGCCGTGCCATCAACGTCGCACCGCAAGTAACAGCTATGCGCCCAGCACACACACAAAAGCAGGGAAAAAGGGACGGGGCGTCACCAAATCCACGCTGCAGTCCTTTACTTCTCACCGCACCGCGGATTGGCATTGCGTCCCACACTCACAGTGAGGCACGGCGCACACAGTCCGCTCCCTCCATGTGCACTCAGCAGGCCGCCGCCCAGTCGCCCTCCTGCCATCGCAATGGGGAACCACAAACAATCGCCGTCGCGGAACATCGATGCCTCCAGCAGGAAAGAAGAGAAAAAAGAGGAACGAGGGCATGTCAACAGCACAGTCAGCAGAGGAACAGTCAACGGGACACGGAGACACACGGTGACAGCAGATACGGTAACTACAGAAACAAGCCGCAGGGATTTAAAAAAAGAAAAAAAAGGGTGGGAGTCCGGGATAACTCCCAAAAATAAAAGGAAAAATTGATGCGGCAGGACTTTTATTTCATGTGCCACGCAGCACGAAGCGACCGTGTGTATATACACATTGCCCGCACCAGGAAAAGAAAAAGGGAAATTAAAATAAATAAAAGAGATTGCACTGTTCCACAAGCCCACAAAACATCCTTCACATTTCATGCGGCATCCGGCCTGTTCTTTCTATCCTCGTTTCGTGCAGTCCGTGGGACGCGCAGCCGCAGGGCCGGCACCGCGTGTGGGCAAAAACAAGAGCGGGAAACACGTCGCTCATTACAGTGTGCGGCAGCCGAACATTACGCAAAGAAAAAACAACAGTACTTACTGCTCCAGCTGAACTGCATTAAAAAGACATTTAAAAGTAAAAACATTAAAGAAATAAAAGATAAGTGAAAAAGGGTGGGAAGTGCGGCACGTATTCTCCGTGAGGCGTCGCAGATCCGCACTCCGTGGCTCAGAAAGCTGCCACCACCCAAATACAATCCCAGTAGGAGCAGCAACACACAGGACACGCACACACGCACGGTGTTGTTAGCGCCTAAATCACGCAGTGTCAATTCCACGTCGTTGGGAGGGCGAGGCGGTCGTCGGGACTCACGCCGCTCCACACCCTGCAAGGTGACTATT